TTTTTGAAAGGCCTGGTAAGTTTGCAGAACTGCATGTAGATGGGGATGAAGTGGGTATAGAATAACAGCTTAGGGAATACTAGGAGATGAGACTGAAAGGAAAACAAAGAACAGGTCACAAAGAGCCTTTCATAGCTCTTAGCTCATGCAAAGTAGAATGGACTTGATTGCTCTGACTTTGAGGAACCAGAGGAAGATTTTTAGGATGGTTAGGATTTTTAAGATGGCTTAAGATTTATATATTTTAAGAAAAATCACTCAGAGCAGACCAAACAGATCTGTTATCACAACATATCTGAATGGCTTAAGGGTGTCTGACAAGTAATAGACATTCAATAAATATTTGTCGAATGCATGAGAATAATTCTTCTATAAAATCTAACTGTATGCCATTTACAGATGGCATACCTAAAACAAAATTGCAGAAAAATAAAAAATAAAGGGATGGGCAAAAATATACTAAACAAACGAGAGTTCCCTCCAAATTAAAAAAAAGTAAGATAGAAGGCAGAAAAAACCTCAAATTAGAAAAAGAAGACTAGTTTGTATTGACAAAAGAAATAACGTTCAATGAAGACTTAAATAAAGACTTTTAGCATGTTGGAAAATGTAACATAAGAAATATCTTTTAAAAAGTGTTTGATATAATTCAGAGACATTTTTTCTTTGTCTTTCCAACCAAGTAGAGAAAAATAAACAGAACAGTGGCCTCAGGGACTTTCAGAGGATCAATGAATGCTTCAAAGACAATTAGGTAAAAATACTCTTTGTGTATGTTCTTTTTCTTGGGGAGATAGGGTTTAAAGCTTTAACCTATAATTTGAACTTCAGTTTTAAAAGAGTAATTGACCCAAAAAAGGTTAAGTACTGCTGATAGAGAGCCTAAATAATATAATCAATGAATTTGATTTAGTGATATATTTTGAACTTTTAATCTGTAAATGCACATTCTTTTTTTTTAATTGATACTGCATTATTTTATTATTTTCTTTATTTTTTGGCTGCTACTCAGCATGTAGGATCTTGGTTTCGCAACGAGGGATCAAATCTGCGCCGCCTGCATTTGAAGCGCAGAGTCTTAACCACTGGACCTCCAGGGAAGTCGCACACATTCTTTTTAAATAGCTTGCACAGGCTTATAACACTAAGAAGTGACTGAGTTGGAACTCTCTCTGGCTCAGTCTGTTGCTTCCCTTATTTATTTAGAGTTAATAAGATTAGAAGGAAAAAGAATTACAATTTTACAGATGGCTTGATTATTGTCTACCTGAAAAAATATTGAGAATTACCTAAAAATATTCAGATGATTGCTGAATAAAACATACATATAAATATTTTTAAATGTATATAAATAAATAGAAAATTGATAGGTTTCCAGATATTAGCTGGAAAATATAGTTGCAATAAAAGATCCCATCCACAATAACGAAGAGGAATAGGCAGAAACTTGGCAAAGAAATATGTTAAGATCTATGTGGATAAAGCAACAGAATTACCCTCAGGGGTCTAGGGGAGACAGTGAATCTAGAGATACCATGTGTTTCTGGATGGGGAGGCTCAGTATAGTTAGTATGTTGATTCTTCCCCAAATCAAAATCCTTCTAAGGTTTTTGGGAGAGAAAGCGACATAATGTTTCTTCTGTTCAAAGAAAAGATACTCAAAACAAATGTTATAAGTGGGTGATGGCAAGGTGAAGGGTTGTAAACTTTCCCAGATGGGTGTTTAAATATATTGTGAGGTTCGAGTAATTAAAACATTAGCCCAGTAGTGCCACAAGAATGGGCCATCAGTTGTCTGGCACAAAGTGGCATTCAAGTCTCAACAGCATGTGCACATTAAATAGGGTGATTCCAGCCTGCATTCTACTCGGTAGTATACCTCCCAGAGGGAGTATAGAGTGGGAGTGTAGAGTGGACAGGGTGAATCTTCCTGTCATGATCAGTCTTGACTCCTGTGTGTTTCTCATAATGTGAATCTCTTACAGTGCTATGAATGATTAAAGAGCTTTTTCAGTGTTCTCTTGGATTTTCACTTTATATGCTTACTTTGGAAGCTGACTCTTAAGTAAGATACCACCCCACCATGTAAAGACTGTAACATAGAATAAGGACATTTCAGGTTGTTAAGGGTGGAGGCAGACGCCAATGGAGATGCATTGGAACAGCTGTGGGGAAAGTGCATTAGATTCCCTTTCCTATATATTATGCAAAATAAATTCCTGATGGTTTGATGATTTCAATATATTTATTCTATTGAAGAACTAGAAAAAAATATATAGGTGAACTGTGTAACTTTTGGTGTAGGGATGGTCTTTCTGAGTAAACTCCAAGGGTAGAACTCATAAAGGAAATTCTATGGATTCAACTACATAAGAAGTAAAAACTTTTACAT